AGGGAAAGCTGCACAGAAGCTGTGGGCTTTGAGCAGTACCTGGAAGAATGCACAGGATTTAGAGTTTGAGAGAGGAGGACAGTGCTGTTCAGAAAGGGACACTGATGCATGGAGGGCAGAGACAGGAAAGGGGGAAGTATGTCGCAAGGAAGGTTAGTAAACCATTTTGGTAGGAGAGCTAAGTTCCCCCATATCTGTCATTTAAGTCTTTTATCTGCTAATGTTAATAAATTTCCTTGTATATACTAAGCACTGTACTAGTGGCCTAGGGAGGTAGAAAAAAGTGTTCATGTCCTCAAGCAATGCATAGTCTAGTGGAGGAATCAGACTTCTAAACAAATTCAGAGCAATATGATGGATACTGTGGTAAGAGGTGGAAGCAAATACCTTGGAAGCTCATATAAAAGACTGCAGGATTGCCCAGAGAATTCACAGAAGCCTTCATGGAGGTGATGACCTTTGGATTGAGTCTTATAGATAAGTGGAAGCTTGCTAAGTAAGGCAGAAGAGAGCTCCAACAAAGAGTCTCTCTCTAAACCTCGCCTCCTGTTATTGTATGAACCCTCAAGTACTTCTAACTTCCTTGATGTTCCCATATATGCCAGACTCGTTTCTCCTCTTTCTCATCATTATCCACTCTTTCTCCTCATTACCTACTGTATGTGCTGAGCCTGGAATGCCCATTCCTAAATACCAAGACCCGGCACCTCTTTGAAGCCTTCCACATGGTCTCCCCAACTATAGTTAGTTGGAGAAATAATATCAATGCTGATACATCTGAGATGTCAAGAGATGAGACAATTTAGTGTATAACAGCATAAAGGTTGGTATAAACTCATACAAAAGAATTGCTCATTGGGGTCCTTCTACTCCTGTTCCCAAAAACGTCTCAGGAAAATGTGATGCCAAGCTTGCAAATGGCTTCCACTACTCCAGTCCATGGTGTTCTTTCCCTGCTTTGAAATTCTAAAACGCTCTTAGTTTGTCCTGCCAATTCAGCATTTATAAATTTATCATTTAAAACATAAATTCATCATTTTTATTGTTTCTTATGTGTCACTAACTAAACAATAGTTAGTTGTATAGTTAGTTGTATCTCACTAACTAGAAAATAAGCTCCTTCATGACAGGAATCAACTCTCATATTCTTCTGTAAGTAGTGTGACCCTATGCCTCTGGGATCCAGTAGCAGTCCCGGTCACACCAATTACGTGATTGCCCTACTTCGAAGCTTCCCAATAATCAGCCCTGTACTGGAAACAGTTGCAGGCACATAAAAAATATCTGAATCATTGATTTCCTCCAAACTTTCACCAGCCACCTGATCCTAAAGACAAAATGCCTCAGAGCATCGCCTTGCCTGAGACAGCGGCTCCACAGAATTCAATGAATCCAACAACACCACTTTTATGGAAATGATTCCTCAAGCGACACCTTGAGCCCTGACACGTCACGTGGTCTTCAAGACTCCCATTGCCCTGTAACCCCAGGCACTTAAACTCAATATGTCCAGAATTCATCCTCACCACCTTACCCTGAGACATGCTCATTCTCCTTCCTTTCTTATCTCAGGGAGTGGCATCCATTCTGCTGCTCAAGCCGAAACCCTGAGACATCTTTCACTTCAAACTAGAGTAAGCATAAAACTGTCACACTCTTGAGAGTGAACAGAGGTGCCAATAGCAATTACTCTGGCACAGCTAGGACTGCTATGGACAAACCAGGACCTATGGTGACTCCACTTCTTATTGTCTCTCACCACTGCCTTCCTTGATGATTAATCAGTTGCCAAGTCCTGTTGATTCCATGCTCTGCTGTCCCTGTTGCATGTTGCCATCATACCTCGCTTCAATTGTTGTGAGGGTTTCCAAACACATTTCCCTGCTCACAGTCTTGCAAGTTTCCAATCTATTTTCCTCCTAACAGAGGGATCTTTCTAAAACATGCATTTAATCATCTCACTTGGTGCTTAAAAACTCTTCAGTGATCTCACATTTTTTTAGGAAAAAAGTTCAAGCTCCTCAATCTGGTCCCCATTTACCTCTTGGACATCATCTCTCATCATCCTTGCAACTTATGCTGCAGCCAGATTGAAGAACGCTATGTTTCCTACCACTGCTGTACTCTCTCATCATGCGGCCTTTACACGTGCTCTGCTCAGAGTCTGAAACCCTTCTCTCCCCTCACATCTTTCACAGGGTGAACTCTTCTTTATCTCTCAGTACCTTCAATCTTACCCCCAAGGTTTACAACTAACTTCTATCCAACAACTGGAAGGACCTCGCTAAAACACAAATCTAACCACTTCGCTTCTTTGATTAAACAATTCAGTGATTTCTGATCTCCTACAGCATAAATTCCAAGCTCCTTAGTAGATCTCCACCTGGAATGATCCTCCATATTTGGGGGATCATGGTGCTAGATTTGACTCTTGGTTCTAACGCTTATTAGTGGGGATCTTGGGCAAATTTTTAACCTATCTCTGTGTTAGCTTTATCCTCAGAACAATAGAAATAATCATAGCATCTATCTTAGAGATGATATGAAAATTTTGTGATGACATGAGTGTTTTTTATTTATTTATTTACTTATTTATTTATTTATTTTGGTGAGGAAGATTGGCCCTGAGCTAACATCTATTGCCAATCTTCCTCTTTTCACTTGAGGACTATTGTCACTAAGTTAACATCTGTTCCAGTCTTCCTCTATTTTATGTGGGATGCCACCACAGTGTGGCTTGATGAGCAGTGCTAGGTCCATGCCTGGGATCCAAACCTGTGAACCCCAGGCTGCCGAAGCAGAGCGTGTGAACTTAACTACTATGCCACAGGGCTGGCCTCTACATGAATGTTTTAAATACTGACTTTCAATGAATATTAGCCATCATCATTAGTATCCTTATTGTTATTGATGGTCTAGACATCATCTCCTCCAAGAAAGTTTTGTTCAAACTCCAGCTTTCATTCATTCACTCAGTAATATTTTTTAAACCCCTATGGTCTTCCAGAGACTCTCTAGATACTAAGAAATAAAGATCAGTAAGATAGTCATCTGCTTTCAAGAATATCATAGCCTAATCCTTCCCCCATGTCACTAGTGGTAATTGTACCACTTTACCATGATGAACCAGTTTCACTATACGTCACCTTCTCCATGAGTTTGTATGATCCTCAGAGGCAGAAGTGGAGATATTCACTCTTGATTCCCCAGTGCCTAGTACACTTCCTGGCACATAGTAGGTCCTCAATTAATGTTTGTTGGACTGAATAAATACCACATTTCATCATTCTAGTCTTATAAAACTCTTAGCAAATATTCTGCAAGCAAGTCTCAAATTCATAAAAACCAGTTTATACCAGTTCTAAAATTTCCTTTCTTGTTTCTGCTGTGCTGAGGAAAATAAAAGTGATACTGCACAGTTTATCTATTATATCTGATGATTTCAGAAGTCTGCAAACTTGAGACAAAATGTGCTACAGCCTGTTATAAGTTATGGATAGAAGTGAAACAATATTCTACTTTTCTTAGTAAGCTCCATAAAGATAATCATTGTGTACTTCTCTGAAGCATCAATAACAGCCCTGTACTGTGGACAAATTTCAGTAAGGATCATTCTAACTTCAAGCCACCTGTCCATCCTCTCTTTGTCCATCCATCCATCCATCCATCCATCCCTCTATCCACCTGTTCATTCACCAATTAATATCAATTAAACTTAAACTCTAGGGCTGGCCCTGTGGCTGAGTGGTTAGGTTCGCGCGCTCCGCTGCAGGCAGCCCAGTGTTTCGTTGGTTCGAATCCTGGGCGCGGACATGGCACTGCTCATCAAACCACGCTGAGGCAGCGTCCCACATGCCACAACTAGAAGGACCCACAACGAAGAATATACAACTATGTACTGGGGGGCTTTGGGGAGAAAAGGGAAAAAAAATAAAATCTTTAAAAATAAAAAAAATTAAAAATTTAAAAATTAAAAATAAGATCTTATTCTAAAAAAAAAAAACAAAAAAAACTTAAACTCTATGACCAGAATGATGTCAAGGAACTAAAGTCTTATGTATTTCAGTATTTCTTATAGAATTTTCCGCATTAAAAGTAGGAGTAAAGAAAAAGATAATATGGTTGTCTAATTTCTCCTTAACACATTTATTGTTGGTATTTTAATTTAATCGTGAGCAGTTTTGTCAGAGTTTATAATAAATATGCCAGTTTGGGGAAAAGTTACCTTTTTAAGAAAGCAAAATATTCTTTTTAAGCTGCTTTGAGAAACTAAACATGAGTGAACAGATGAAAGGCCTAAGAATTTAATAGAGGTAGAACCTTAAGGTCTAACGAACAAATGGAAGGAGGTGATCACGTGGTTCTACGTCAAAGAGAAAATTGCCCAGAGCTCACTTGGCAAATTGTAATCATTACCAGCTCCAAGCTTGCTAATAACATTAATAAATCCAATCTCCCAAACCAAACTTAATCAACCCGGAATAATTGCAAAGAATATCAGCCATAGTAAAAGGAAAAATGCTTAACCATGGACTCTTTGTGTGGTTGCACTCTCTCAGAAGCAACATATCAAGGAATACCCTCTTCAAAGAAAATCCCACGAGAACAATTCTATCACCATAGTCCATGGTGTTCAGTACTCTCCACAAAGTCTGATCCCTTTCAAATCAAAGAAGAAAAATCTCCAGGCCTAGATATGTCATTTCTTGCATAGTTATAGAGCTCCACCTGCTGAACAAGGCATGGACAGCACACTCACAAGTCAGGAAATCTCAAGGGTGATAAAAAAATTGGCTCAAACCTGTGATGACCAGGAAACAATCACACACTTAGTTTTGCGAGAACTCTTTTTCGGGAACCCTGAGCATGTAAACCTTCGGCCAAGCTCATTTAACTTCATTAAACATCAACAAGCAAAGGTTGTATTCTTACTTTGTATAGTCTAGTCCCAAGGGGATAATCAGGAAGTTGGAGGAATTTAGGGCAGTTCCCAGGCTTACCTCTCTTCCTTCTGCTGTACATGAGGGCCTTCAGCTCCTAATCCTATACGGAAGAAGACAAATATATCCAACTATAAATAACTGATGATATCATCCCAGAAAAGCTTGCTTTCTCTCTCTGCTCTAAAACCACTGCTACTTTTTCCAGGTGTTTCTCTTGAGAAGGGACCATCAGCACTTCACAGAGTATGCTGCCCACCTGCTCTTCCGGAAACAGCAACCCACAAGCTCAGTGACAATATCTGAAGTCATTTTCTTCTTTGGGGTCCTTTTATAGCAAGTGTCTCATCTTTAAATCTGAAGAGGCTGACAAATAGGACTTTCTTGGTGGAGGAACTTAGGGACACCGTCTGCCAAGGAACAACTTTCAAGCCTTCTGGGCTCTGTCATTGTCTGAAAGATCGTAATTCCTCCTTAGTAATTAGTCACTGTTTCCTAAGATTCCCTAAGGCTTTCTAATTATCTAAAAAAAACCTGTAAATGGTGTGTTTTATATCCTACCTGTAGATTTTGCTCCCTCACTTTGAATTCTAGTTTGCCGGTTACTTACTTATGCTAGAATCATCTCATGGAATCGTCGGCTCAGTAGTCTTATGCCTCGTGTCCTCTCCTATTGCCCAGGTGCAGCTCTCTGCCTGGAGGCAATCATCTACAAGGGGACAGACTCATGGACAGGGACGTCGGGAAGCCTCTGAGAGACCATGCAAATCAGGTCAGCCTTTCCAAGTGCTGAAATGAACCTGCAGGAGCCTTGCAGGCAAAGGTATATTTTGGGACATCAGCACTGCATATTTAGTGTCAAATCCCCTGTTACATATTAGTGTTTCTCTATCTCTCTCTTTCTCTTTTGCTCACTCTCACTCTCTCACGCGCACACGCACACACACACACATACACGCACTGAGACACATAGATACAATCTGTGTTTCTCACTGTGTCTGATTGTCTCCTTCTGTGTCTGTCTATCTTCTTCTGTGGCTTTCTATTCTCTCTTTCTGTTTCTCTCTCTGTGACTCTGTCTCTCTTTATCCATTTGCTTTTCCCATGTTACTTTCCCCAGTGTATCTTTTTCATTAAAACAAGAAAATCCTATTGTCAAATGGCTACCAGTAATTGGTCACATGAGCCAGTGTGACCTGCCCTGTTCTTAAGTTATTCTTCTTGTACTGTAGAGACCTGAGAGGATAATGGTTTTCCAGGGAAGAAGAAACTGATGTTTTTGTATTCCCAAGATTTGGATGCTTAAGAATGGTCTAGCAGTCTGCCAAAAGATATAGAGAGAAGAAGCATGCCTCTGGGAATACGGAGTGCCTTGTCTTCTAACCATGCCCAGGCAATCGTCAGGAATTCGATCACTTCATGAGAAGTGATATGGAGCTGAAGCCCAAGTCACATGCCATCAGGATTCAGATTAAGGCTATTTTGATGATTTTAGCAAATGGAGAGTATTCAGTCCTTGCCATAGGAATGTTTCAAATCAGCCTTCGACAAATTTCTGATGAATAGACCTAAAAGCGATCTCTTGTAGCCATCCCTCCCCCACAAGGCTCTCCAGCAGTCTCATCAATGTCTGGTGGACATTCTGAGTGGAATCTTAAGCGACCTTCATAATTGGGAGGAGGACAGTGGAGCGTTAATAAGAAAGAGAAGGAAGGATAACCGGAGGGGACAACAACACTGTAGAAAAGCACTTTTTAAAACTTGGAATGAATATATTCCAAGTTGGGAAATGAGCCACTAAAGTAAGTAAAAATTAACTAAAGTTACCAATTTCTGAAGAGTAGATTCAAAGAGAGTATTTCTCACGTACTAAATTGGCATAGATTCTAAACTGAGAATACCTGCAGTGCTGTTAACGGTATGGTGGAAAAAGTACTCTTAGGATACTCATAAAAGGATACAAAGGTTTTGGAAATCAGTCTGATGGGATGTCAAGATCCTTTAAATTTTTCATATTCATTGACACAGTAACATAGAATTTTGGGTAGAATTCTAAGAATAGGTTCTGAAATCGATTTAAAAAACAATGCACAGAGATCTTCCTTACAGCATTACTCATCATTCCATAAAGAAAGAAAAACTAGAAACAATTTGAATATCCACCATAAAAGAAATAGTTCAGGAAAAATAGTTTGCAGAGAATTTTAAATATAGAGGAATGCTTATAATAAAATGCTAGGAGAAAAAGAGCAAGATATGAAATGATCTCAACTATGACATGAGTAAGAAAAACTGAATGTAGAATTATACGTAGTTTTTTTACTTCTGTTATTTTAAGACCTTCCAAAATCTCTACAATATGCAAATACCGCTTTAATGATGAGGGAAAAAATGGCGCTCTTTTGGCTGTAATCTGAGAGGTAACAGCTTTCCAATACTTTGATTGAGACCTTAGAATTTAAACTCTTCTCACCAGTGCACAATGCTTGATTAGCTAACGTGTTCATTTATAGCATTAAAATAACCCTCTTAGTTCACCATAATGCATTCTACTTTCACCCTCAGAAAATTGCAGAGGGCAGAAATTCAAACATTCATATAAATCTTCTGAGTGGACTCACCATCTAATTCTCTAAAGTTTGGTTCCTTGAGAAAAGAAACTGTGTAAATGTTTCCTTCTGAGATTCGTAGACTCTGATAAATTTCTATATTTATCTTTTATTAAATTATAATAACCACAGCCCTGATTACCCACTCACACATAGGATTTTCAGGAATCTTTTGGAGCAGCTTCCCAAATCCTTCCGGCTTTTCTGTAGTTGTAAAACTCAGACAGTTTAGTTAAACTGGCTATTGCATGAAAATATGGTCTTACAAGTTGGCTTGCAAATGTTCTCTGGTAAGATTTTAGTAATCATATTTTGGTGAATAAACGGAACTAGAAGAGTGACTGAATCGTGTCCTAAGATGCCGTTGTCCGGGAAAGGATAGTCTTGCTTAGAAACTCTCCCCTGGGCCCTAGGGCTGGCTCCAGGGTACCATAGGACTATTGTCAGTACCTGTTTCCATCTAAATTTAGTAGGCTCTCGCAGAACCTGTTGGTTTGATAATTTCTTGCTTTTGATTTGCATATTCTGGATATCTATATTTGTCACATAAATGTCCTGGTAATATTTTCTCCTAATCTGTGGCTTACAGATTCATTTTCTTAATAATGACTTTTAAAATTTTTGATGAAGTCCAATTTGTTATTTTTTTCCTGTTAGTTTTAGTGTTTTATGTCCTTTCTAAGAAATATTTGCCTACCTCAAGGTCACAAAGATATTCTTCGATGTTTTCTTCTAGAACCTTTATAGTTTTAGCTTTTAAGTATAAGTCTATGGTCCATCTCAAGTTAATTTTTATGGGGCATAGGTTGGGATTCAAGGTTGATTTTCCCCATGCCTTTGTTTAATTGTTCCAGAATGATTTTGTTAATAAAAACTCTACTTTCCTTGTTGAATTCTTTTGACACTTTTGTTGAAAATCAGTTGACCATATATATATATATATATATGTGTGTGTGTGTGTGTGTGTGTGTGTGTGTGTTTGTGTGTGTGTGTGTACGGGTTTATGACTAGACTCTATTATATTCCACTGCTCTATTTGTATATCCTTATACCAATATCACACTGTCTTGATTACTGAAATATAGTGATGCAATTTTTATTTATTTTATTTTTTATTTATTTATTTATTTTTGTTTCTTTGGTTTTTGGTGAGGAAGATTCACTCTGAGCTAACATCCATGCCAGTCTTCCTCTCTTTTGTATGTGGGGTGCCTCCACAGCATGGCTGATGCGTGGAGTATGTCCACTCCTGGGATCCAAACCCACAAACCCAGGCTGCTGAAGCAGAGCACGCAGAACTTTAACCACTTGGCCACGGGGCTAGCCCTATAGTGAGTCTTTAAATTGCATATTATAGGACTTCCAACTTGGTTCCTTCTCTCTTTTTTTGTTTTCAAGATTGTGTTGACTCTTCTGGGTCCTTCACATTTCCAAATAAATTTTAGAAAGAGCTCTTCAGTTTCTACAAAATGGCTGTTCTGATTTTGATTAAGAGTATATTGAGTCAACAGATAAATATGAGGACGGTTGACATATTAGGAATATTGAGTCATCTTATCCATGAGTGTGGTGTGTCTTTTCATTTATTGGGGTCTTCTTTAATTTCTCTCAGGAATATTTTATAGTTCTCAATGTGGAGTTCTTGTATGTCTTTCATTAAATTCATTCCTTACTATTTTATGGTTTTTTAATTGTTTTAAAAGGATTTAAAAGTTTTTCATTCTCCTATTCTTTACTGTTAGTTTATAGAAATGCCACTGATTTATGCATATGGATCATGTACCCTGTGACCTTGCTAAATTTACTTATTCTAGTAGTTGTTTTGTAGAATATTCAGTATTTTCTATATAAATTATCATGTTATCTGCAAGTAAAGACCATTTTATGTCTTCATTTGCAATCTGTATGCCTATTTTTCTTACAGCTTTAAGGTATAGTCATCATACAAGAAACTGAACATATTTAATGTATACAATTTGATACGTTTTGACTTATGTATGGACCCATAAAACCATCACCACAATCAAGATAGTGAATATATCCATTACACTCAAGTTTTCTTGTGGCTTTATGTACTCCCTCCTGTCTATATCCTCCTCCCCCCCATCTAAATGCCTTTATTTCTTTTACTCATCTTATTGCCTTGGCTAGAGCTCTGAATTACAAATATTAGAAATAAAAGTGGGAAAATCACTGCACATCCTAGAGATATTAAAAGGATAATAAGAGAATATTATTAATAGCAATATTTCACAACTTAGATAAAATGGACAAATTCCTTGAGAGATATAACTTACTAAAACTGAAACTAAATGAAATGGAAAATCTGAATTACTCTACATCTATTAAAGAAATTGAATCCATTTTGTTCCCTCATTTTCAAAAGATTCTCCCAGATATTCCTAGTCATTTCCTTTGTTTTAATTGTCTCCTCTACCCTGATGAATTCCAAATCTCTATTTCCAGTCCAAATTTGTTCTTGAGGCCCAGATCTTATATCCAGCTGCCTATTTAACTTCTCCACGGGAGTGTCCAGACTTAGCATACTTCAAGCTGAACTCATTATATTGCTCCCCACTTCCACTCCACCTTGTCCTCCTACGTTCCTTATCTCATGAGAATGGGAAGTTCAGTTGTTCGTATCAAAATCTAGGCGATAGCCTTGACGGTTCTTCTTCCTGGATCTCCCACATTCAATCAGCTGCTAAGTTTTCCATTTGGACCTCCTAAATATCTCACAAAACCATCCAATGCCTTCCAACCCCACTATATTATCCTAGAGTAAGCCACCATCAATTCTCACTTCAATTCGACATTCGTGTTCTAATTCTTCTTGCTCTCAGTCTTTTCTCCTTCTTATCTGTTCTCCACATTGCAGCCAAACTGGTATCCTAAAACTGAAATCTTATCACGACATCACCCTGCTTAAGACCATTAGATGGCTCTGCGCTGTTCTCACAATGAAGTCCGATGTTCTTAACATTCCCCTGGGCCCTGTGTAATCTGATTGGTGAGTGGCCCCTCAGCATCCTAAACTTCCCCTGTCATAACACTAATTACGTGATAATATCTCAAAATATCATCCTGTGTCCTTTTCTTTTCCCAGCATCTTATGCTTGCGTGACTTCTCCATTTGTCAGAGGCATCTACTCTGCCTCGAGGAAATGTAGGATTGTTAAAGCAAGAATTTAAAAAGCAAGAACCAGCCGATGTTCGGTATTTCTTTTTTTTTTTAACCTCTAAACAGGCTTTTGAATATCTGAAGAGAAGTCCTGAGGGAATCAGAGAACAGAGTTTAGACCATAAAAATAGAAGTAGAAAGAAGATAAGAGAAAAATGGAGCATCGCCTCCCCACCACTACATCTAAACGGAGGGTCCTTTGGGCTGAGGAGCAGGAGCATGATAGAGTGGAGGATGGGCATGGCCTTAGAGGAAGCGGGGACTGGGAATGAGAGGTCTGACTGAGCAGGACAAATATAGAGAAGCAGGGTCAGCATCAGGAGAATTGCTAACCATGGTATACCAGGGATTCCTGTTGAAGCAGAACCAAAGCCTAGAGACAATTTGTTGCCATTCCAGGGCATACCACACACTACCCAAATGGGGAAGTCATGTCAGCTATTCATCTTGTCCTTGACAGCTTCTATTATAATAGTTCAATTGTTTATTTCTTTCCATCTGAAATGTATGGGTAGTCACTTCTCTCTTTCACTTATTAAGAGCTTAAGATACTCACAAATTCTTCTCCCAACAGAGGGTGATGGGGCCTTGGCATGCAGAGATGAGACGGTGGAAGGAACAGTCCCAGCACTGAGACTTGGGTGTAAGTACACGATAATAAAGAGCATTTATATCAAACATTTACTACACAGTAGCATAATAACTTCACTACTTTTCCTACCCTCCACTATTCTGTAAGATTGTGAAGGCACAGACCATGTTGATGTTGGTCAGCATTAAGCCCCATTGCCCACTGCAGTGCCTGGTATGTTGTAGGTGCTCAGTAAACATTGGTTGGTTACTTTAATGATTTCATAAAGAATGAGTGACTTTAAATTCATTGATTTTAGTGGTTTCTTTGAATAGTGATTGATCGATTTCTTTAAATATCAAGATGGTAATATCTTTTTATCCTAAGCATATAAGGTCTAACACTTTTAAAAATTAAGGTAAGGAACCGAATTATGAATAATTGTAAAGTAATTTTCCATTTTCCTGTTCTGTTATTAAGACTTTCAAGCCTTAGAAGCCTGTTTACAGTCTCCTGTATTCATCCTTTGGACGTCCTATATATACTTGGCATTTCAAATGGGAAAATCATTGAAAGTATGACACCCAGAGAGTTAGAACATGCATGTATGTCATTATGAGCAAACTCTGTTCCTTCCATTTGCAAGGAACAGTTTATGTACAGAAAAGTATTAAATTAGACATTTTTCTTTTCTATTTGTGGTAAAGTGAATAATGCCCCTCCAAAAATATCTACGTTCTAAGCCTCGGAACCTGTTACTTTATATGGCAAAAGGGACTTTGCAAATGTGATTAAGTTCAGCATCTTGAGATGAAGAGATTATCCTGGATTCTCCAAGTGGGGCCAATATAATCACAGGAGTCCTTATAAAGAGGCAGGAAGGTCAAAGTCAGAGAAGATACGATGAGGGAAATAAAGTCAGAGGGAGATTTGGAAATGCTCTATTGCTGATTTTGAAGATGGAGGAAGAAGTCTTAGACCAAGAAATGCAAAAGCTGGAAAAATCAAGGAGATAGTTTCTCTTCTAAAACTTCCAGAAGGAACACGGCCATGCTGACACTTTGATTTTGAGACTTCTGACCTCCAGAATTGTTAAGACAACAAATTTATGTTGTTTTAAGCCACTAAGTTTTGGGTCAATTATTATGCAACAATGGGAAAATAATATAGTTCTAAAACCTTATCAGTTGCATTAGGCATATCCAGAATGCTCGCTGAGAGAAGGTGTTTGAGAAGAACTTTATGAGATGATGTTCAACTGGGACAGAAAAGGAATTCTATAAACAGATCCAGTGATGCTAAGGAGCTTAAATTATTCATTTATGTATGAATTGCCTTATGAATATTTATGAGCATATGTCTGACTATTATAAACATATCCAGATTATATATATATATACATATATATATATACACACACATCGCACACAAATACACACATATACACCATCTTGGGAGAGGTGTAAACAGAAGAGTGTGATACAAGAGTACCTAATCCATTTTTAAATTACACATGCCTTACCCAGATTTTCCACATATAGTACTGTATTTTTCTTGAAAAAAACAAAGTGTTGTAAGAGTTGGTTTTGGAGGGAGGAGATAGAGTTCTTGAGAAGTAAATGAATTAATAGCTAGAATTAATTAAATGAAACAATACAAAGATGTACCAGTGTTTCATAGTAGAGTGGCTATTGACTTTATTGGATTTTCTCTAAGAATATGAAAAACCCTTATCTTTGAGCATAACCATAAAGCATTTTACGTCTGCTTTATGTGCCACTAGGGTCAAGGCCAAGTGTATAAATAGAGGTCATGAGTTGTGGTGCCAACTTCTAAGTGTAAATTCTCCCCAATTGC